ATATGGGCTTGACTGAGAAACAACAGCTCTCTTAATCTTTCACTTTTGATCTCTTCATCAGAGTATGCTTACACGATGAGGGTGACAATGGCTGGGAATGTCTACAGCTTTGGGGTGATTCTTTTGGAGTTATTAACTGGAAGGCCAGCTGTAAGTGAAGGAAGAGATTTGGCTAAGTGGGTGCAGAGCCATTCCAGCCATCAAGAGCAGCAGAACAACATTCTTGATCTCAGAGTGAGCAAAACATCAACTGTAGCAACAAAGCAGATGCTCCGTGCCCTCAGTGTTGCTCTTGCCTGCATAAACATCTCTCCTGGGGCAAGACCAAAGATGAAGACTGTTCTACGGATGCTCACAAGACTTTAAGTAAAAGTGTCAGATGATGCATGATGTGTAAATTTTTGCTTGTTACTGTATGTATAAGCAGCATTAGAGATTAGCGAGGTTTCTTTCCTCTGACATCTATTATCTGCATCTCCATTTTTGAGATGCTGAGAAACAAGACGGATGTATTGCATTCACAATTGTATTTTGGAAATTATCAGTCCAATATAAGATTCATGTTATTTAACCATGCTAAAGTTAGCAGCTCGTATAAGATTCATCAGATTATCAGTCCATATAAGATTCATCACATGAAGTGGATATATATGAAAAAGTCGGCAGCAAAATCATGTGAGACTGCCTTTTCCATGCGCAAAATGTTGCAGAAGATAGCTCAAACAAAGAAATGATTATGTTCAACATTACTCTTAATAGGTTGATTCTATCAAAGAAACTGATTACCGCAGAAATACAAGCTCCCATGGAATCAAGAGCAGAGAAGACTGGGATGCGAAAAACAGTAATTTGGCCTAGAATGTAAGGTCCTTTGGGTCCTCAATAATGCTTGCCAATGTTTGCAAGAACTGTGCGAGATCAGCACCATAGATGACACGATGATCTGCCGTCACATTCACCTGTGGGTTCGCAAGTGACCAGTCATCATTAACAAGTTCCCAGGACAACTCGAGACGATTTCATGAAGACAAAAGGAGAAGAGGAATAAGTTCTAACGATGGTTGATAATAAGATTTACCTGCATCTGGTTTTTCATGCCAATGCGGCCGTCTTTAGTAGCAACCACTGAAGGTTGAGATGCTCCTACAGCCATAATCGCTCCCTTCATTGATCAAAGACAAGAAAATCAGTGAGCTGTTATTCCTTAGCATAATACTTAGGCTAAGAGAATTAAGAAAAATAGTTTTACAAACTAAAATACATGCATAAAGCAAAAAGCACTTACTGTTCCAGGGGGTAGAATAGCATCAAACCGATCAACGCCAAACATTCCTAGGTTAGAGAGAGTGAAGGTACCTGAAATTACCCGGAATGGAAATAAAAGAAACAAGACTCAGAAAATCATGCTAAAGTTACACAAGCATTTTTGTTGCAAAACTCAAACTCAAATCACTTCTATATTCTAGTAGTAGGTTTACCAGTGTTGTACTCCTGAGGCTGCAGCTGCTTGGCTCGAGCCTTATCAACCAATTCTTTCCATTTTCTAGACAACGAATAAATGTCAACCTGTTTACAAAAGATAGAACAACCCACTGATACCGGTTTTGAAGACAGAGTAAACTCAAAACCTGTTATAAAGCATACAGAAGAAAAGAACCTTATCAGCGTTCTGAAGCACCGGAGTGATCAAACCACCATCAATAGCAACAGCAACAGCAACGTTGATGCTACTGTTATACACAAAACTGTTACCATCTCTACAGGAAGAGTTTACAACTGGATGTTTCGCCAGTGCAAGTGCAGTTGCCTTTGCTAGGAGTGCTGTCATTGTCACACCTTTTGACTTAATCTAAACCAACCAAACAACAAATATTAACAAAATCAATATATACACTAACAGTTTGTAACTAGTGTGTGCCTCTGATGCACATCATAACATACTATCATTTATACTTCAACTAGCTATCTGCCTATCTCTCATAATCTCATTCTCTGATTACAACCACATGTGCAATCGAAAAACTACTATACTAGTAATACACATATTCACATTATCACAATCAATGGAAGCTCCAATTTACTCTTATCATTTCGACCAAACTAATTTCAATAACTTACTCACCTTCTTGTAGAGAGCATCAAGAGCATCCGTAGTAATCGTGTAACCGACTCTAAAAGTAGGAACCGTCAAACTCTCCACCATATTCCTGCTCACAGCCCCCTGCATTGTCGTAAACGGAACCACCGACCCCAACTCCACACTAGGAGCTGCCACTACCTCCTTAACAGCTACCGCAGCTTGAACTCCTCCTCCAGCAGCAACCGCCTCAACATCTTTAGCCACAATCCTTCCCATCGGTCCACTTCCAACTAAACCAGCCAACTCCACTTTCAATTCCTTAGCTAACTTCTTAGCATAAGGAGACGCCACAATCCTCTTCCCTCCTTCAGACGCCGGATGCACCGCAGACGCAGCAACCGCCTTAACCGCAACCGGAGCAGCCGCAATCTTCTTCTCAACAGCCACAGGTGCTTCAATTGCAGCCGTAGGAGGAGCCTGAGAATCACCACCACCACCACTACCAGAAGCTTTAGCCTTAGCATCAGCAATCTCATCCTCAGTCTCAGCTAACAAAGCAATAGCAGAACCAACAGGAGCAACACCACCTTCTTCAACCATAATCGCAGCTAAATAACCATCGTAGAAAGTCTCAACATCCATATCAGCTTTATCAGATTCAACAACAACAACACTCTCTCCTTTGTTGAGTTTATCGCCTTCTGATTTAACCCAAGAGACGATTTTGCCTTCGGTCATTGTAGAACTTAGTGCAGGCATGAAGATTTCTCGGATCTTTGCTTGAATTGGGATGATTCTGGGCTTTACACGGAAACCCGTAACGGAAGATCGTGTTTTTGTGGGGAGAGTAACGGAAGGTAAGAAGGGTGTTTGGAGAAGACGAGACATTTTTCGAATTTCGTTAATCGCAATGCGAGAGAGAGAGAGAGAAATGAGATTTAAGAAGAGTGAAGAAGTTCCTCGGAATTATCGAAGAGCAGGCGGAGTTTGCCAACTAATTTACCGGTGACGATCACTGTGTCTGTGTGTGTGACTCTCTACTGTTTGTATTGAAGGTGTGATACACGCGCGTTTTTTGTTGTGGGCTATTGGGCTTTTTATGAAGGCCCAATAGATAATCTCGTTAAAGCCTTTTAAACCTTCTGCTACTTTTTTTACAGGAATAAAAACCATTAACGACCACATATTAGAGTTTTTACTTTTTACCATTAACACACATTTTTCACCTTAGTTATAGGTTTTACTGTTACCCATGGTCTCTCTCACTCACTTGACAAATGTTGGTTTTCTAATTTTCATATAAGAAAGTTTAAAAGTATAAATGATGGAAAAGAGTCTAAAATGTTTTTGTTGTTTGGTTAATAACTATCAGCCACATACAAATGAATATGGATTTAGTAAAGATTAGCCGGTGAGATCATTGTTAGCTAATGTGTATTAAAAAGGACTCTTTTATGTTGGTTTTTGGTCGGTTTGCGTCTATGATTTAGCAGTATACCGAACCGGTTTTGTTAATCGTTATTTGGGAAGTTAATTTTTGAAGAATACGAAAGTCATTTGTGTATTTTCATGAAATCTATAATTTTTATCTATAAAAGGAAGATTGCAAAAAGACATGACTAAGAACTTTGTAGCCATTGACACAGAGAGAAATCTAGAAACAGCAAAACGTTATAGAGAGAGAAAGCTACGAAAGATTATGGATGTCAAATGGGTATGGATGTGAAATGGGCTTCGTGACCATGGGCAGGACCAGTCCAAATTATAATAGTCCGGATTTGGTCACGTCCAAATTCGTCCAAATTCGAAGCGGTCAATATGGGCTAGAAGCCCATTTAGTCCACAAACAAATGGGCCGAACCCATCTGGACATGGTCCGTCCAATAAGCCTTAAAAATTAGGGTTAATAATTTAGAGAAAATTTGTTTTCTTTATTTCTTTAAAAATTAGGATTTACACTGACATTTTCACTCAAAAAATATTTTTACCGTTTTGGCGGAAAAATGTGATTTTACGATTTGGCGGAAAAATGCAATTCTTCAATTTTGAGAGAAAATGTGCTTTTGCGGTTTTGGCGGGAAATAGAAAATTATATTATTTGGGCTCCATGGGCTATCTAGTTGGTCATGGTCTTATTTGTGCTTGGTCTTAATTGGACACGGTCCTATTTGAGCTTATACTATCATGGTCCTATTTGGTCTTGGTCCCATTTGGACCTAGACAGCCCAATTGACATCCCTACGAAAGATCAACCGGAAAGACATTTGAACGGTGGCTTATGGTTAATGTATGTTTATGATCTAAATCCTGATCTCCGTATCGATTCACAGTCAATATCGTACCATATTTATCATTAAACCAGCTAAAGTATGTGATTCCGTTTAACGCTTCCGCATAAAATTAATAACAATTTATGAAAATTTGCAGCTAAGCTTTGAACTTTATGATGGTAATTACTCCATACAAAACCCCTTTAATCTATTATCTTACTGTAGTAGTAAAGATTATACTGTTTGTTTTATTACTAATCACAAATTGGTACAAATTAGTAAATATCAAAAATAAATTCAACTATTAAATTTGTGTCCTATTATAGAAGTCGTAAAAATGAGAAAACCATAAAGTCGTAAAAAGATACACATATTATAAACATTACGTAAATATGTGAAACCTACGTCACTATGCGAGCACAATAGTTTACTTTTTACGTCTATATAAACGATCGATTCGATCGTTGTAAATCACAATTCATTACTTCAATTACAAGAAAAGTAATAAGCATATATGTCTTTCGTCTCTTTATTATTCAGTATCCCGATCCTTATGCGGTATAAAATTTCTCTCTTATATATTATTTATATCCACCAAAAAATAAAATATTTTTTTATAACATATCCCTATTTTTTTCCGATTTGATTTACTAATTAATTCGCTATAGTAAATATCGTTTTATTATGTCACTAGAAATATAAATTTTAAAAATTTTAGAGGTGGTTGCATTAAGAGAATTCTTTGCCTAAAGAAAAAAAAAATGAGTGCTTGAGAAATCTTACCTTTCTCGTAATTTTAGATGCTTCTTCATCGCTACAATTTCTCTCCTTTCACTCTTCTTCTACGCTCTTGTCTTTATATCCGATCTACCTCGTTTCCTTTCAAATCCCTAAATCGTCTCCTATATCCTCTCACAAATGGACAAACCCAAGATCTGAAAAGCTTATGTCTTTTCTCTTCCCATCGCCTGATTCGAGCCTAAAGCTCGGTTTTTTTCTTCTGGGTATTTAGGGTTTTAGGGTATTGTAGAATCATGGCGAGTTTGAGTGGGAGTTGGAGAGATGCGTATAAAGGAATGTCGTCGGATAATATAAAAGGTTTAGTCTTGGCTTTATCTTCGAGCTTATTCATTGGTGCTAGTTTCATTGTTAAGAAGAAAGGTCTCAAGAGAGCTGGTGCTTCTGGTCTCAGAGCAGGTTATTTCATTCTCTTACTGATTTTGTTATAACATTTGGAGGAGATCTGTGTTTGTTTCACTTCAAATGTTTGTTACTATGCAAAGATTCAAAATTTTAGATTTCTGCTTCAGGGTAGATTCAAATTTCTAGTGGATCAATTGGTGTGTTTTTATGTGACAGATGTTGTAAAAGTATATCACAAATAACATAGATATTGCTCTTTTAATTTTCTTTGGTGATTTTGGTGATGGTGTTGTTGTGTAGGTTCTGGAGGTTACTCTTACCTGCTTGAGCCTCTCTGGTGGGTAGGCATGATAACGAGTGAGTTCCCTTCATATTTAAAGGTTTGCTCCTTTTTTGGGGTCTTGGTTAGCTTGTTGTTACTGCAGATTGGCTTTGTTTGTTGTTCTTAAATGATGGCGAGGGTATAAGTAGTTATTGGCGTTTCAGTAATGTTGATGGCACAGACAATGTTTCCTTGTTTTGTAGTGATTGTTGGGGAAATTGCCAATTTTGCCGCTTATGCCTTTGCGCCTGCCATTTTAGTAACTCCTCTCGGTGCTCTCAGCATAATTATCAGGTTTGGATAGTATTAAGTCAGATTTATTATGTATTGATCTAGCTGTGGAATCACAATCAACTTTTAGTGTTGTCTATATAAGGAATTCATTTAAGAAAGTAGCCTAGTCTAAATTTTGTGTTTCATGATGATAGTATTGTTGAACCATTAGGAGTTGTGCACTGGAGTAATAGTAATAGAACTTTTTCGGATGTGAATTTTCCAGCGCTGCTCTTGCTCATGTCATCCTACACGAAAAGTTGCATACTTTTGGGCTTCTTGGTTGTGTCTTATGTGTTGTTGGTTCGATAACTATCGTCTTACATGCTCCTCAAGAACAAGAGATTGATTCTGTGTTGCAAGTATGGAATCTTGCAACAGAACCTGGTACCATTTGATCTTTTTGCAAACCTGATTTTATCCAGTCTAATTGATGTTTGATTAATCTGTTCTAAGACATAGTGATATGTCCGGTGCAGCTTTTCTTCTCTACGCTGCAGCAGTAGTAGGAGCAGCCATTATACTCATAGTTCAGTTTGTACCACAGTACGGACAGTCACATGTCATGGTCTATATCGGGGTTTGTTCTCTTGTTGGATCATTGTCGGTAAGTGCCCAAAACTTATAATCTAACATGATTATTCATTCACTTTGTTTTGAGTCCTAATTATTTGAGTGGTGCAAGCAGGTCATGAGCGTCAAAGCGCTCGGGATAGCATTAAAGCTTACGTATTCAGGAATGAATCAGTTAATTTACCCTCAGACATGGGTCTTCTCGCTGATAGTTCTCACCTGCGTGATAACCCAAATGAACTATCTAAACAAGGTAGAGGTAGCATCAAGTTTCATGTCGATATCTGTTAACATATCATGAAAATTCATTCGGCTTCTCTTTATTTGTCTTGATGACAGGCGCTTGACACATTCAACACGGCTGTAGTTTCACCCATATACTATGTTATGTTCACATCGTTGACCATCCTGGCTAGTGTCATCATGTTTAAGGTGAAAGTATAACTCTTGGTGTTTACTCTAATTTGTTTTGGTAACTAGAGATAACAACAATTGTTAACTTTTGTGGAACAGGACTGGGATCGACAGGACGGAACTCAGATTGTGACGGAGTTGTGTGGGTTTGTGACAATCCTTTCAGGAACCTTTCTGCTTCACAAAACAAAGGACTTGGTTGATGGTGGGTGAGCTCTTTCTTTAGGAATGTGTATAAAATGAAAAATGAGAGAATGTTTCTGCAATTAACAAGTGTCTGATTGTAGGTTCTTCGTCCTCGGGAAATTTGGTTATCCGTCTTCCTAAAAATTTGGAAGATAGTAATGGGTTTGAGCAAGAAGGGATTCCACTCACTCTCAGACGCCAGGAGTGCACCAAGTCGCCAAGGCCAATGCGTCACCTCATTCTACCGCAAGACGGTCTTGAAGCTGTGTAAGGAGATACAAAGTAGATTCAATATATGTATACCAGGAGGCTGCAGAGACGGCGTGAAGAAAGGAGAAGAGAAAGAGGAGAGATAGATTATTGTTACAAGTTGCATAGGGAATTTTTCACACATTCATTTGTTTTGCTTTCTCTAGATTTTGGTCCTGAAGAGATGTGAAATGTGTAGACAGATTGATGAACTGTTATATAACACATAAGTATAGTAAATTGGTATCGGTCGTCACATTTTAGCAAAACATGTTTCATTTATCATAACATTGGTCTAAGAATCTTTGGTTGGCATATGAATCTTTCCTTTTAGGTAGTGATGCTTTTCGTGAGGATTTATAGTTTGGTTGCTTCCGTTAACGTTAAGAAAAAAAAATTGATCACTTGAAGGAAAGAATAAAGAATATATTTGACCACAAAGTGACATTAGAAAGAGATCACAACGTATAAAACATAATCAGTACTTTACGTGAGTAGTAGTTTTAAAAAAATTGCATTACAACAATCAAAGAATCGTTTACATTCATAACCCACGTCTATATATATTATTTGTAGGCTTTAACCTAGCAACATACACTCTCAAATCATCATAAACCACCCTCTCTCGTATCAACTATATATGGATTCTCTAGAAATTGAAAATATTGCTTATCTTACCGTTTGTCTTCTAAGATATGATTCAAATTTATGGTGGTGAGGAATGGGTACACCGGATGATAAGGTAGTGGATACAACCTTATCGATCATACCCCCATCATGATGGCAGAACCAACTGTAGAAGAACAAGATATGGACAACGATGATGGGAACATATACGAATAAAGGAGACAACATAAGAAGCCTCAACCAAAGTGGAATCCAAGGTTTGATGCTGAACCACATCATGGATTCTCTTTTTAAGAAATTCCTCCATCAAAATAGTGGGTACAACCACATAGTGGGTACAACCACATAGTGGGTACAACTCACTATCCTAAATACCTCCTTCATATAGTAGTTTGTATATACTTATGATCCTAAATATCTCCATACTTCTGATCCTAAATACCTCATTCGTGGTTGTATCCACTATGTACCCATTAACTTGTTCTAGCCTCCCAGCTTGAACAACAACTTGTCCTGACAACTAAGACAGAACAGATGATTCCTCTCCGACTCAACGAGGGTATGAATCACCAGTGGAGAGCCCATGATTACACCCACCTTCACTATGGAGCGATACGCCTAGCTTTAACCCTCCATGGAAGAAAAGGTCTACATGTTGTAGCAAGAGTCGCTCTTCTCGACACCAGATACAGAGAATATCAGCACGCTTGCATCGCAACAATCCAGACCACCCTAAACGCTGGTACTGTCTTTGTCACACTATTCCCAAACTTCAACGTGGCGCTTGAAGATCCCCATGTCTACCAGAATATGCAGATCCAGCTTCAAATCACAGGTGCTCCGCAAATCGGAAATACTTATGCGGCAACACTCCATCATCAGATGGCGTACCGAGACCAAAACTATGCTATGGATCTTAGCCTTCCTAGAGATACAGAGGATGCTCTGCTCATTCAGCTGGAATCACAGCACAGCCCTTCATGCATCCATATTCCAAGACAAATCCCTAAAGAAGAACTGGTCAAGTTACTTCCTGAATCATGAGTGACGACTATGAGAAACTCCATGATAAAAGTATTCCAATACAATCGGTGGACTCTTCTATCACAGATGAAAAGACGGAAAAGTTGAGATTGCCTTTCAGCAACAGGAAGTAAAGCCAAGTCCGACAGCTTTCTGCACAGAAATCAATACTATCTCTCCGACGGAAGATAATTGTGATGAGAAATTATATAGTTTCTTGTATAGCAGGAATAGTATTGATTTCTCATCACAATTATCTTTTGTCGGAGAGATAGTATTGATTTATGTGTAGAAAACTGTCGGTCTTGGCCTTTCTTCTTGTTGCTTAAAGGCAATCTCTACTTTTCCGTCTTTTCTTCTGTGAATAGAAGAGTCCACCGATTGTATTGGAATACTTCTATCATGGAGTTTCTCATAGTCGTCACCCATGATTCAGGAAGTAACTTGACCAGTTCTTCTCTAGGGATTTGTCTTGGAATATGGATGCATGAAGGGCTGTACTGTGATTCCAGCTGAATGAGCAGAGCATCCTCTGTATCACTAGGAAGGCTAAGATCCATAGAATGGTTTTGGACTCGGTACGCCATCTGATGATGGAGTGTTGCCGCATAAGTATTTCTGACTTGCGGAGCACCTGTGATTTGAAGCTGGATCTGCATATTCTGGTAGATCTGGGGATCTTCAAGCACCACGTTGAAGTTTGGGAATAGTGTGACAAAGATAGTACTAGCGTTCAGGGTGGTCTGGATTGTTGCGATGTAAGTGTGCTGATATTCTCTGTATCTGGTGTCGAGAAGAGCGACTCTTACTACAATAGGTAGACCTTTTCTTCCATAGAGGGTTAAAGCTACGCGTATCGCTCCATAGTGAAGGTGGGTGTAACCATAGGCTCTCCACTGGTGAATCATACCCTCGTTGAGTCGGAGAGGAATCATCTGTTCTGTCTCAGTTGTCGGGACAAGATGTTGTTCAAGCTGGGAGGCTAGAACAAGTTCTCTCGCCGCATGCTTGTGTGGACCGAAAACATATTTTATTACTTTTGGGAAAGTAGAGTTGGATTTTGTGAAAGCTTTATATGGATTTAGTAAAGAAAGTTGGGTAATAGGAACTTTACTCTCATCACTTACATATTCTACTTCATATAGATTGTCTATTTTACTAGCGTTTGATTTTCTGAAAGAAGACGATTTTATTAAAGAAGATGAACTTTCCATAGTGTATGTAGAGGCCAGAAACCATAACAGAATGCTTTTATCTTACCTTACCCTTGAAGTAATAACAAACCTTGAGTTGTTTTTCTTATTTCAACAATTGCTAAACTCTTTCTCACTGCTTAGCTTGGTTCTAACACATCTCTAAGCTTCGCTATTTATAGTACAAGACTTAGAGAATATTACTTGGAATATTCCTTAAGATATTTTCACTCTTATATTACAACCACACCCTTATTATCTTATCTTACAACCACATCCATCTTATCTTATTCAATCACTCTCAATACTATTATTAAAGAAGACTTTCGTTCAGAACAATTCAAAGATTCAATAATTCTAGTATTAGATTATTTCAAAGAAACAGAAGTTACTAGGCCTTCACTTACAAGCAATTCACAGCCCCTTGTCTGGTGCAACAATAGAGAAAACAAAGATAAAGACTACATGCGGGGTGATAACAGGATTTTACTCTAACAAGTATCAATCCCTAATATACATGCCATTGTAGTATATTAGGTTTATCAATCCAATCTCAGTGTGACTGCAAGCATTCAAGATATGCACAGAAAGCAAATAAGTCAAGCCAATTGTGAAGAGGTTTTGTGTGTTTCTATTCAACCTAATCAACCAATTAACATGGAAGTACCAAATTCAAAAGCATGAGAAAGTAAACTAAACAAAGCAACAGAGGCAGCAATTAACTAAAGACCAGGAGCTATCATGCAAATGCTTCAGAAAGGAAACTAACAACCTAACAGTGCAATGAACTATGCCAGACCAGACTCGTCAAGCATACAGTCGAGCTAAACACTAAAGACAGACAAAAACGAGATTCAAACAATCAAACAAGGCAAGCTCTTAAGAATGGGGTTATTGGTTATAATGGATTCCTCTATCCCTTTAAATAGCTAACAAACTCAATCAAGCTATCCCTAGACAATAGAATCAAATACAAATCAATCCACTCTCGTGACAGAGATCCTCAAGCTAAGTCACTTTCAAACTCAATTCTCATTGATGAAATATAACCTACATGCATTAAGATTCAATCTAATATAGTCAATAAACATTCTAATCATCTAATCTCTTGGGCTAGAGTATGTAAATCTCTGGAATAGTTGGTTCAGACATTTCATCAAACACCTTGTGGGTGTGGAAATGTCTGAGATTAACTTCCAATTGATCAGAGAGGAAATAGCACTAAGAACTACTAAACCAGAAGGGAAATCATGCAATTAAACACTTAGCTAGCTAAAGAAACAGAGGATTCCACTAACAACCTATCCCATCCTTAAGAACTTTGCAGAACTACTCAAGAACACTAAAGAACATCATAGCTAAAAACCCAGAAAATTGCACAAACCCAGAATTCATTGAAAATCAAGTGTATTATAGATAAGAGAAAGATCTACAACTTTGATGAAGAAACGAAATCCAAAAACTCAAAGATTCAATAGGAAAAACGATTACAAAAACTAGGGTTTTTGAGAGAACATCGGAAAAACCGAAGGGTAAAAGGAATATCCCCTGGATAATAGCGTGAACCCCTATTTATAGAAAATACTAGGTTGCCCTAATTGGCTACAAGACAAAATAGAAAGTCGGCGGAGGTCCAGCTCGAATGTTTAGGTCGAGTCAGGGGGCTCAAAACACCAAAGGTGGCTCCTTTACTGCTCAGCTCGAGTGTGGAGGTCGAGTCAGTCGGTCAAGCAGTCGGTCGAGCTGGCTTCTGCTGCACCTTCTGCTTCACATACTGCTGCACTACTTCACCTTCTTGCCCAGAATATCCTCAAAAGCTCCTATAACACCTAATAACAACTCCAAATGCAAGAATGTATGCAATGCAATGCAAATCGTACTAAGTGATGAAAAGAGTAGGAAAAGGACTATGAATGCAATGAAGCAGAGAGAAAGCTAAGCTAAATGCATAAGAAATGTATGCTTAAAAGAGGTAAAATACAGAGACATCAACTCCCCCAAACTTAGCTTTTGCTTGCCCTCAAGCAAACAAATAGAACTAAGCTGGAGAAGAGGTTTGAAGGTGGAGACTCATAACCAAAACATGAATATAGAGTAAGTAAATTCAATGTCCAGGTTGCTAATTCTAGAATGCAGAGTTGACTAATCTCTACTTAAAAACTTTAGCCAACTCCTTCACATCTCAGCCTAACTTCTGCCTTAATCAATTCAAGCATTCACATCAGCACATTCCCTTTAACATTGATTAAGTGAGAACCGTGGATCATACAATGCACTGGATAAGAACTCATTTGGCTTTAGGGTAGAGGTATAGAGACAAAGATTGTCCCTTAAAGATCTGGTTTAAATCGCAACAGTGGATCTCTCAAGAATGATTGAGCTTTAGTAGAATGCTAAAGGTGAGTATCAAGTTATGCATACAAGGATAAGACCCCATCTACCCAGAATGTAATCAATAT